AGGGGTAACCGATAGCTCTGTCCATCTAGTCTTCGTTTAGCAACTCATAGTGGATGGATCCCTTCAACCTCCATTGAATCAAGGAACGATGCTTGAGTGAATTTAAAGGCCAGTATCTCCTCCAGTGATCGATCCAACCGATTGTTGACCGTTGATCGGTGAGCAGTGCCAGCACTAAATAAGTTGCTGATAATTTGAGCTGCTACACCCGCGTTTTTCCCTTGGCGTGCTTAGTAGAAGGTGATGGTACGAATCGGGTGTTGTCCATTCATTGACCGTAACACTGCTAAAGCCCACACGCGTGCCCTTATTCCCCTTATTTACCCATGTGTTGATTACCTGAGGAATGTCCTACAAAGTTATCACTCTTGCTATCGTGTTCACACTGTTGATACAAATTGCTGACGCTTCATATTTTTTGTTGCAGACTTCCCTTCCAACCTAATAGCAGTTACAGAAGACTTTGAAAGATTGTCGAAAAGAATGGTACAAGCTAGTGTGTGCTCTTCCTCGACTTCGACAAAGACTTCAGTTTCAGGAGTCTCAAGCCGAGAATTACGATGGTTGACAGCCTCCACACTTTAAATTTTCTCTTCACTGTATTTGAGGTTCGAGAGAAATGCTGCACTGGCGAGAAGTAGTCATCCTGATCCTTGCAATAGCAAACAGAAAGACTACAACGTAGTTTCCAACATGGTATTTCGTTTGCAATGACTTGGGTGATACTCATATCTCAGCCGGTGGCATGTGGCAGTCTTGGTTTTTTAGAGGTTTTCCCTAAACTCAATCCCTGCCAATTTTACTACAAACATGCTCCTTCTTCTGAACCACACTATACGAGACGCCGCTCCCAATATAATAAAAAAGGACATTCTCGCGAACAACGTGCACCAGCTGTACAAACTGTACTTAAGGATGAACATGTAGTTCATCCTCATCAAATATGGTACCTTATTTTTTGTTCTCACCCAAAAGTAAACAATGCAGAACAGAAAACGAAGACAGTCATGACTCTGGCAACATAATTTCTCCTTTATGATGCATACACATCTTTTATAAACAATAGGAAGTTATTACGATTACATCTAAATATGCTTCTATTTCTAAACTCATGGGTCTCGAATTATCAATATATCATCATATGAAATGGGGTAATCAAATACGTTGGTTGTCATGCTTTGCATGCCGGATTTGCTATTCCCTGCTTATGAAACAAAAAATACAAGATAAAGCCTTTTGGCGGTATCCAACCTTGTTTTACGAAGCAATTGACTTCTATCCAAAACAGAGCGGCGTACTGAATGCTTATGCGTTCTAAACAAGAATTATGGGGGCCAGCCGATGTGTAGAAGTGAGCTACTCCGTCATCTGTTCGGACGCATCTGGTACCAATTTACTAGCCCCGGAGTGATAGAAGGATCGGTCATGAGCGGCGAGTACCTATCCAAATTAGGTTTCTGGGCCTTGAACTAATGCACCACTTAGCATTACATCATCTAGCCGGACATGAAAATGAACAAGTACATTCAGTCAACATATTGCTGAGCGAATATGCCAATTATTCACGATGCCGCCTGTATCCCCTTCAAATTCCAATCCTCTAACTCCAGAGGTGGGCGGAGGTGGTGTAATTCTAAGTGGCGCACACTATCGCAGCCATAATCTGGCGATTGAATTCAAGTTCGATAGCCGCTCAGACAGACAAGTCTTCCGCCCCTCGGGGTCCGTTTGTTGGTATCAGGCTTGTCTGGAAGGATAAAAGAACTGAATTGTACATCGGCCGAACACCACAACTCATTGTATTGGCCACACACACATTCAATACGCCACTACGGTTCTGATGAAAATGAAATGAGAGCACATCCGAAATCGAGCTAGCTCAATCCGGGAGGCTTTACCCCCTATCCGTTACCCTACCACCATTTCAATAGAAAAACGTGAACATTTTCAGCTTTTGCTTGACATGCAATATGATTGGGTAGTTCCGTACATTTCATCCAAATCATTTGACTTAACTTGTCGCAGTCTCATCCACTACTCTCGTTTTTCGAGACGATCAATAGAGTAGAGTTGAGTCACAAGTTAGTTGTTCTCCGACGAGATAGTCAGAAAAAAAAACTTACTAGGACGTGGAAAACCGACTGAAAAGGAGAAAGAACCTCATTAACTGTCACCAAATGTTTCGCATTACTCAGCGGTTGAAATGTTAGGGAAATGACTCAATTTCTAGAATCGCTACTTTGCCTAACTGAAACTTTCTCGTCACATCTCTTAAACAAAAGCAACCCTTTGAATTCGTCATCATCTCAAAACAAACCGGAAATTCATCTAGCAATCATTTCAAAGAAAACCTTGCTTTTCCGCTTTCTTGCAGCACAAATTTTGAGGCTTTGAACGACTCAGATGAAAAGCCTAACATGTAAATTCACTCACCAATGGGGCGTCTATAAATCACAGATGTACTAAGACGTCGAACTGGAGGACTGACCGGCATGTATTCCTCGTAATCTCCCGACACAGGATCCACTATTTCAAAGACCTTCAAAATGTTATTTCGCTTGGTTAGAGGACTTTATTCACACATAATTTCAGTTCCTTGAAATTCAACATAGGTTTGCAGAAGTTTACAAGACTAAGTGTTCTCTTCAGATTCGTGTAAGAAAAAATCCTATGGAATCGACTCCTAAAAACACTTCTTTTTCTGATTATTTTAATTTGGCGGGAAAATTGAATAGTGGACAAAAATGGAAGCAGTTTGCGTAAAGAAGTTCCTTGACCGGAAAGTGATTTAACTGAATTGAAATGGTCATCTGTGGCAAGGAGTCGTCGCGCACGAAGGAACGTGGCAGAATGAGGCGGAAACAGCACAGCGAGTTAGGAACACAGGAATAAAAGAAGTAATAGTAGAGTCATGAAATAATACTCGCATAACGTTGTGGCTGTATGAGGAACGTTAGAACTGTAATAAGGAAGAAACTAGTCCGCGTCTGCCGCAAGCGGCGAATCGATTACACAAAACCGATTCAAGTGCACGTCTCCCCTTCAGACCTTCTAGCCTGCTGCAGCAAAGTGCGATCCAAAACACCTTTTCTCTTAATCCAGATCTCAAATGATAACTTTTCGTTCTTAATCATCTGTAATTGGAATAACTTCTACAAATTGTAGCAAGTTGTGTTGATCACTGGTTAGTTGTTCACTCTCACGCGTTTTTTTAACGCTAACTATTAGTCTGCATTAAAAATTTGCTAAACGATTATGAAGCAAAGGTACAGAGTAGTCGCCTTTCGATAAGAAACAATTTCGTAAATGAAACAACAAATTGAGCAACGCCAGTGATGTGAAGCGACTACGTAGCCTAGTGGACGAAAAGTACACAGCAGTAAGAAAATGTTTTACAATTCTGATACGAGCATTCGTTCCGCTTTAGTTGTGCAATCCGTCTCGTGTTCCAATGATCCTGATTTCCAAGGAATCCTATTAGTCCCTATTATTTTGACGTAACTGACAGGTTTAATCTTACTATATACAACGCGTTTAGTGTGTTGGCAAGTCGGTGTGTGTGTGGGTGTGTTTGAGGGTGACGGTGTGTGTGTATGTGTGTGTGTGTCGATGTGTAGCAGTGTGTAGGTGCGCAAGAGCTAAAAGTTGCTAAAAGTGCAGTGCGCGAAAACTTTGTTATCCCAGAATTAGGGCGTTCAAATTTGGATGGGATGTGTGGCACGGTTGGTACACTGACTGTTAGCGCTACAAATAGACTCCACCTTCATCTAAATTCATATTGAAGGCTTAAAATAATGACAGGAATCACATGAATCACCAGCCACTGAAATCGATCGGACAACAACGCCTTCACCAAAGTTCCGGCAACGGGTGTAACCATTATTAATAATGAACCACGCAAATTTGGAATGCGGATCTTAGATGAGCGTTTGAAAACACATATGGTAGCGTACATCCCTTTTTGGGCAGCCACTGTGGCCCGTAACCTTTCCTTAGTTAGACTGAGGATGAACCAGAAGATAACGAATGCGGAATGAGATTATGGGGAAGACCAGGCTTTGGAAGGAAAACCACGAAACTTTCAAAATAAAGCAAAATATCCAGTATTGATGCAAGAAAGATTTATTCCGCCTTTACATAAGGTAATAATTTTATATTTAAAATTAAGAATAAGATCAATGAGATTTAAAGCTCACCGGCTGAGAACGCATGAGTGTGGCACGCCGTGAAACAAGATTGTGTCCTCTGACCCGTCCCCGCACCGGACCGCGAACAGCTGTCTATAATTGTACCAATTCACAATCTACAAGCGAATTAGCTCTTGCTCAAGCAAACGATTGGAATATTCAGGCAAAAGAAGTAAAGCAGAGCGATGTTAAAAAACAACAACGAGATTTCAGAAACATTCACTGAAAGGCCCCAGAGAATCAAACAGGGAGAGCCTAAAATTGTTAAATACGTGTCATAGACTCAATTTCAAATATTGTCAAAATTATCAACATTATTTTACAAGTCCTTGTAAGCTACAGGCATGCATTACCAAAGCAGTAGAGTTTTAATTAAAAATGACTATCTGTCATTCAAATGGCTTACGAACGAAATTACTACTTCGTTTGTGAAGAGATTAACTGAAAGTAACAGTTTTAACGATAAAGCAACCTGCAACATATGATTCGCCTAATATGCCTGTGTGTTCTGTGTGAGGAAGAAATAAAGTTGAAAGGTTGGAAAGAATGATGTTGAAAGACAATAAGAGATAACAAATGATAGTGGTTGATAAAGAACCGCTGAAGGGAAGAACTAGTACACTCGCGCTTTTATGGAGCCTAACGACGACTGTGATGAAATCACGATGGTCGTGACATCACTAAAAGGTTAGGAAATGATGACAAACGATGAAGGCTAGTAAGGAGCCTAAGAAGGCAAGGCGAGTGTGTCCGTTACAGCCTCTTGGTCAATAGAAACATTGACACCGGTTGCTGATGTAGGCAGTTGGAGCATGGCTTTTCGGCCTTGATAAGGAATGGGTCGGGATAGTATATCGCACACATACAAACAAACACATACTTAATGAATCGTAAACAGATCTACCTAGGTCGCTATGCCATTCAATCCACAATGATCCTTGACATCGAATTTGATATGTTGGTTCTGACAGGTTTCTAGGAGATATGCAAAGAAGAACGAATTAACAAGAGCTAATTCGTGGCTTCAAAAGAAAAATACTAATGGATTCCATAAGATTCTGCAGAAATAGACGCCTCCACTAAAGACTAATAAGCTAATGGGGCGGGAATGTAGATGGAGTTTCAAGGATAGAAGGAAAGGACCGCCTGACTTGCCACATTATTCGCATATAAGCCTGGGCCTCGGGCGCATATAAGCCTGGGCCCCCACTTAAGCCTGCTATGTAGGGGGCGACGGGCATGTAGACTAATTCTAATAGAAATTCATAAGAGCTGATTGAAAACATCTCTAAAACTTTATACTTCCTTCGTATTGAACGGGGAGCTTCACGATGAGCGCTTATGAGGAGATAAGAAGCGCTGGCAATGGATAAAGGAAAGTAAATTTGTTGAGTGTTGATCTGATATGAAACCACGTTCACGCATACCGTTAATCTGTGATATTGGTCTCAGGACTGGCAAACAGTGGAGTCAATTACTGTTGAAAGTGTCTCATAGCATTAGAGCTACAATCATGGGGAGACTTTCACGTATTAGAAACGTATACCCACTCTTACTGAAAGAAGTCAATTTCATAAGGAATCGTGTGGCTTTGAAAATCTTCAGTTATTCCGTGCAGCGATCACATAAGTGAAAGCGTTCTTCCAGAAGTATTAAGAATATGGCTTTCTCAACAATTGCTTGTAACTATATACAAGATTTAGAATTAAAAAATTCTAAGATTTGAAGAATTTAAAGATTTCTTTCAAAAACTGTCGGAACCCGCTCCGGTCACTTTAGTCCCCAATTCCCAACCAGAAGCGACGACACAAGGAAACATTATTAATAAATCTAATCTTTTCAAAAAGATAAGCAACGTAGTACGAATAAAGCAAATGAATATCCATAAAAGCATAAGTACAAAGGAAGAACGGCAAACGTACTCTTTCGACAACAGGCTTATTCACCACCACTTTCGGCTTCGGCATTCGTGAAAACCGGAAAAGTAAAAATAAACAATGTAAACACAAATTTCATAAGAATTAAAGTCATACATATGTCTCAATTAGAATCTTAAAAAATGGGTAGCGCACCTTTGATGTAAAGACATGGTGGAAGTCCCAACCATTACAATTTTTGTCGGAACTCCCTCAACCATTTCCGCATCTGTCATTCTCCAGAGGAGCCTAGAAGCACTGAAAAAAGCGATAGGAAGTCAAAGTCCCCTCTAAAGAATACGCTTTTGCGAGTGTAGTAAAAACCGACACAAGCTCATTGAGCTAACGGCTTGGGAAATAAAACAAGGGAGAAAAAACTATACAGCCTGGCTCATTTCCAAAACGAGTCGATCAAGTTGCACAAACATACGAAATTGTGCGTCCACCGCAAATTGTCCGCAACTGCACAATACATCAAAATCAGAGCACAGTAATCTGACTTGCGAATTCGAACGACTCTGGCGCCTATTGTTGGAGCACAAACTTGAAGTAGAGAAGATTAGTACGGTCAGCTGACCCTAGCCAACTATTCTGCTACAGGTTTGTGCCCCAATAATAGGCACCGGAGTTGTTTGAATCATCACGGGTATAGGTACTACGTGCGTCCGAGGATGCGCGCGGCAAATTGCGTGGCGAAGTGCGTGGTGATTCCAACGACTCTGGCGCCTATCATTTGGACTCAACTTTGAAATACAGTAGATTAGCAGGGTCAGCTGATACTACTGATCTACTATACTTCAAATTTGGACCCCAATGACAGGCGCCAGAGTCGTTGGAATCACCACGCACTTCGCCGCGCAATTTGGCGCGCGCACCCTCGGACGCACGTAAGTTCCGTCCCCCAATCATCACGAATTTCGCCGCGCAATTTGCCGTGCGCAGTTTGAATCGCACGAATGCACCGTCCCCCTCATGCTGTCGATGGAGAAGATAATTGACTTTATAGTCGGGATCACGAGAGATCATTCAGAATCATTTTATTGAGTCCTACAGCCTCCAAAAGGTGATGAGTAGAATACACACGACGCCCGGTCTCCCATCATTAATATTATACCTAAGATCGCTACATCGCACCACTACCCTATCAAATTATCTCACTGATAATGTAAAGGGGAAGGCGAAGTGGGGACGGAACATTCACCCAATTCTGGATGGAAGCGGAAAACAGCGCTGCGAATTCATTGTGAATTAAAGGACTCTGGCACCTAACAATGGGGGCACAAATGTGAAGTAGGGTAGATGAGTAGCATCAGCTGGCCCTAGTTATCCAATCTGTTTAAAATCTGTACCCAATTGGTAGGCGCCAGAGTCGTTTGAATCACAACGAATTTCGCTGCTCGGTTTCCCGCGTCCCTCCAGAGTTGGGTGAATGCACCTATACCCATGTAAATGTATTGAATCTTGGTACATGTTTGTCCAGTGTGTTATGGAAACAGAACCTGTACTGCTTTAGTAGTATACCGTAATTTTTACCGGGCGGTACTTGACTATTGCTTTCGATGGGACCTCAGCGCATTACTTTTTGCAACTATCAGCACCGGCGAGCACATAGTGATGCTTAGGAACGTTTCTTAGCCAAGAAAATAGTTTTTCTTAAACCAAGTCTCAGCAGGAAAGGAGCATGGGGAAGGAGAGTCGAGTGAATATACAACTACTCCCACCCCATCAGCTTTTTGCACGAAGTAATAAGCTCATCCACCCTGGTACCCCTTCTCTCTTTTGAAGCGTAAGGCTTTCGCAGTTCGAATTATTTTACCTTCCGCGGGTATTTGAATGTAACTTGGAACGCGTCATTGAGGATTGAATGAGATCTGCTCGAAGAAGAAGCAATGTTACGTAGACTAGGACTTCCATGTAGAAAATAGAGAAATTAGGAAATGAGGCAGTAAGGCGGAGTGTTGAAGAAGATTCCCAGCTATAATAAAACTTCGGACCCGCTGCAGCACGGATACTGTATTCAAATGCCAGCGTGCGGTAAAATTATCCAAACCTTAATTCAAACCAGTTGTTGTGGCTCCCATCCGATTTGTTAAAGGGCCACGCCTGGTAGAGCGCGCAGAGGCGCGCCAGCGTATCGGCGCCTGCGCGTTGGCTATACTCG